TTTCCATAGTACTCACCACCACGGTCATATCTCACTATCTTAATGGACTTCCCAAGCTGTTTTTCAACTTCAGTCTTGTAAATTTTAAACTTATCAAGTGCTTCAGATTTTTCTTTTAAAAGATATATATAATAGTACCTTGAAAAGTTATCAATAAAAGTAATAAAATAATTATGATTGGTCAAAGTAGGTATATAAGATCCACTAATATCAGTATGAATTATTTCTAAGAGTTCAGAGCTCCTAGTGGAACCTTTTCTCTTAACCTTTGTCATTTTACCCTTGACGCAATCCACACAAGTTTCAAAATCTTTTAGATCAAGAACAGGTAAAATATTTTCCTTTATCAATCGTTCAATTCTTTATTTAGAAATATGACCAAGGCACCTATGCCATAATAGATAAGACGTTTTACTCATAGCAGACCTTTTGTGGGCAATAATTTTTAACATGCATTGCAGAAAAATTTTGATTCAATATATTCCATAGTACTCACCAAAATAAAGCAAAAGGCCTCATACATTGACCAGACTCATCATATTTTTCATAGTACTCACCACTATGGTTAGACTTCACTATCTTAATGGACTTCCCAAGCTGTTTTTCAACTTCAGTCTTGTAAATTTTAAACTTATCAAGTGCTTCAGATTTTTCTTTTAAAAGATATATATAACAATACATTGAAAAGTTATCAATAAAAGTAATAAAATACTTATGATTGGTCAAAGTAGGTACATAAGGTCCACTAATATCAGTATGAATTATTTCTAAGAGTTCAGAGCTCCCAGTGGAACCTTTTCTCTTAACTTTGGTCATTTTACCCTTAACACAATCCACACAAGTTTCAAAATCTTTTGGATCAAGAACAGGTAAAATATTTTCCTTTATCAATCGTCCAATATTTCGTTAGAAATATGACCAAGACGCCTATGACATAATAGGTAAGACGTTTTACTCATAGCAGACCTTTTGTGGGCAATATTTTCAACATGCATTGCAGAAAAAGTTTCATTCAATATATTCAAGCGATATAGACCATCACTTAAAAAGCATCAGCAACAACATGTGAATCATACGAAAATTTAATAATACCATTATTTTGTTGAAATGATAACCAGCTTTGTCCAAAAGGGAAACCGAAACTAATTTCCGTCTCATAGACGGTACAAAAACAGTATTTTCTAAACGAATACTAGAATTATTCTTAAAAGGTAAAATAGATATCTCTATAAACTCTACTTTTGCTTTGAGTCCATTAACCAAAACAACACTGGCTTCATCCTCTTTTGGCTTCCGTCAGCTTACTAGGTCCTACAAGTCACTGGTTACATGAACAGTTGCACCACTATCCAACCACCAGGAATTTAAAGGAACATGAACAAGACTAGTTTCAAAGCAGACAAAAGCCAAAAGATTACCTGATTTCTTTTTCAGAGGACAACTATCTTTCTTATGACCTACTTGTTTGCAATCCCAGCACTTGATTTCTTTCTTAATTACAACTTGAGGACCAAGAGAATTATGAGACTGGTCTTGGTTAACACTAGGTTTGTTAGTATGACCACTATTACCACCTGGATGGTGAGAATGACCATGTTTCTTTTCGTGAAATTTGGGTCCATCTTTTCTTTTATAAGAGGGATGATCAGCTGATCTAGACGAACTAACAAAATTCACTACACCCTTAACTTTTTCCTTTTGGATCCTCCCTTCCTCTACCACACAAACAGTAATAAGCTCATCAACACTCCACTTATCCTTTTGTGCATTATAGGTTGTCTTAAGCTAGTTAAATTGATCAGGAAGGGACCTTAGGGATTGGTGAACAAAAAAATCATCGGTAATGGTTACACCTAAATTATTCAGTTTGGTAGCAATGTTAACCAATTTCATAATATGATCACGGACACTACTTACAAAGTCATACTTATGGTTGACAGGGAATCAATGATGCTACCTATCTCAACTTTATCAGATTCTAGGAATTTCTGTCCAATGGCACTCAGGAAATTTTTGCATTTCCATTATCCTTAATTGCACCCTTTATGTGATCAGAAATGGATCACTTCATGATCATAAGGCTCAATTTGTTAGCCTTCATCCATTTCTCATACTTTGCCTTTTCATCAGCAGTGCTAGTAGTTGCAGGTTCAGCAGGTTTTTGTTCAGTCAATGCAAAGTCCAGGTCCATCAGACCTGACACTATTTCAACATCCTGTTTTCACTTCTTAAAGTTGCTACTAGTTAGAGTTTCAATGGAATTCAATTGAGTAGTCATGTTGTTAACAACTGTATAATCAAACAACACAAAAATTAGATAGAATTATGGGCAGGAATATCTTAAATCAAAAGAGTCAAAGACATCCATTACACCCCTCTTTTGGGTAGAAGATGCAACTGTCTCCCCTTTTTTTTTTAAACAAAAGAAGTCCAAGGCATTCATTGCATCCTTACCTTTAGGCAAGAGATACAAAACCTCTTCCCCATATTATTCAAGAGTACAAGGCACATTGTGTCCTTCCTTTAGGTAAGAGACACAAAACCTCCTCTTATAACAAATTATCTTTATTTATACACATGAGAATTCAAGATATTATGTTCCTCCTTTAGGTGGAAAATATAGTACCTATTCTCATTAATTAATTTGGCATCACTAGTATCAAAAGGTAAACCTCCAACACTAATGTACACTTGTAAAGGATAATTTAGACATGGTACATTGAGAATATTTCAATGACTCAAATAAATAGACCACTTTGGTGGAGATTATCTATTAATCATAACTCTCAATCCATATATTAAATGATCTCACATGTATATAATATTAAGAACTTTTCAGTGAATCCAAATAAATAGACCACTTTGGTGACACTATGTATTAATCACAATTTTTTTTGGTTACACATTAATACATGTGATAAGATAACACCCATATAATTAAACCTTTTGAGTATTTATTTATTCTACTCTCTATTTAAAGATCAACAAAATTTTCCAGCAATAATTTTATTATAAAAGTTTACACTGTACTAACAATCAAAGACGACCAGTTGTAATAATCAAATACACCCGAGATATTTAATAAATTATAAGAACTTGATAAATATATGAAGGGCACAAATCCGTATGTCAGGTAAATGCTTAGGACAATTCTGGCCAAGCATTTTAACTACGTTCTATCATGGCAATAACTTCACCATAACATAGAAATTTAACCAATGAGTAATTCTTTAGTGTTGTGGGCCATGAATTAAATAATAATAATAAATAAGAATGTAGTAAAAGACAAATATAACTTCATACTTAAAAGCACTAAGTTAAAGCAGTGCTTTAATGAAAACCCAATCGATGTCGTCGCCGTCGTGCATAGTTAAATCAAGGCTAAAGTAATATTCTTTGTTACTTTCTGGGCCAATTTTAATTTATTTGAGGAACAAAACAGTCCGATCCATTGCCGTAAACTCGAAACCAGTAAGAAGGTTTCCTTTTACAATCGAGTTTCGATATTGATTTCGCAACGTCAAATTCAGGAAAAATAACAGCGTTCATCAATATATTCAAGATTAATTAACGACTTTAATCTCTAACTATGGTGGCTCTGATACCAACTGTAAGATAAATAATATTCAACCATAGCAGAGATTAAAACACAAACATAAACATAATCTTGAAATAGGTTCAAGAAGCGTACCGTTAAACTTCATGGATTCAGCAGCGACAACAAACAACGATTAAGCCTGAGACCAACTTCCACGATCCACTAGCTACGCACTCTCACGGCCCGGAGAACTTGACTGATGGGACATCTACCGTTACCACGTATTCAGGAGGCAAAATACGCTAGGGGTTTCTAATAGCTAGGGAAAGGGGGGTTGGCCTCTATTTATAAAGAGCGCATACCCATCACAGACCAATAGTTATTGGGCCTCACTTATCCACACATACAATATTTAATATTATGCCTTTTATTTATCCACCACTTGGGCCACGTCACTATCCTTTCAGGCTATAACCAATTAATGTAAGTCCAAATTCCAACAAATCTCATCCCATACCTTGAAATTTAACTTTGGTTCTTAAGGAATGATTTGGCGATAATTACTTGTTGCCAAATGCTTAAAGCAAAATATAAAAAAATCATGATGCATGAATACTCATCAACAAAGGCTCACTGTTGGAGGAAGACTTTGATAGCTACCTTAGGACTTCAGAAATATTAACCTAATAAGATGCTATAACCATTCAAGTCATGGTGAAAAAAAAAATCATGATGAATACTCAGTACAGTTCGACATGATGGAAAAAAAATAAAGAGAGAAGCTAAAAGAAAAAAAATTTGAAAAAGATAGAATATAATAAACATATAATAAGGATATTAAAAGAATCGGGACTCATATATAAATGAATATATGATTTTCAGTATTTATATGCCTTTCACACCTTGAGTTCAACAAGTAACTACGAAGTAGATGACTAATATGTGAGGAAGAAGTGCAGTAAATGAAAGGGGTTTAACGGGTTATTAATGAGTTTTAAAAAAAACATGTATTTTTTAATTTGGTGCGTCAGATGGAGTTATAAAAAGTTTAGCTAACGGTAAGGGCATATATATCCTGATAGTATAACGGAGAATAGATGTGAACAACATACCAAAATAGAGGGATATATTTGACTCTTTTCCCTTTAAACTATAAAAACCTAAAAATATTGTCGGAAGGACAATCCGGGAACAGGGGAAAGATGATGCTTGAATATGAATACATAATGTTTAATTATTGTCCTTGTAAATGATCAANCCTCAAGCTAGTTTATTTGTCACATTTCGTTTATCAATTCAAATTAAAAAAGAAGAGGTCAATCTGATTGTTTTCAATCATTGAGTCTTAGATTGAATGGGCTAAGCACAATCACGTTGAATCATATGATGCTACATCAGTTAAATTCTGAACCAAATGAAGGATAATGCCCAATTAAACGGTAAAGATAGTCAATTTCCAACATGATGAAACTAATGTTTAGTTCAAGGAGAAAGGATTTGACTCACTTCATAACAAAATTTGACAAGAAAAGATACCCTCTATAACTCAAGGTTGATTAGCCCCCAATAGCTCTCCTACAATATCAATTATGTTCAAGCCACGCAAATCCTAGTAAATAACAAGAATTTGCTTATGATTACAAAAATCACAAGGTAAAGTGGCTCATAACTAAAAGGGTTAAGAGAATTCGCGACAATAATGAGAGAGATAGTATACTTCTATTACATCTGAATTGGTTGTCAAGGTGTTAAAGCCCCCTGACACGAGATATCCTTTATTCTGGAGGCGGACCGAGGGGCCTGCAGTGCACAGTTTTGATGCAGCAAAAGGTTACTGGCTCACGAGATCTGGTAAACCACTATACGAGGCTTTTGATAGAGCCACCAATGGGACAAGCACTCAAATTAGATAGCAGATACCATACTGTCGATGTGCTAACATATATAAGCCTTCTCTGGAGGCCAGGGTAAGTTATAACAGAGCCATCACATATGCTACATTAGCTCTAGGATGGAGGGATTTGACGAGCGAGAAAAGGCACTTCCACCACTGTACCCACAACATCATCACCAATAATTACAGTGTCTCCCTCAGAAGCAGCTTTCCTCTTGATATAGCCAAGTCCTAGGGGCTGAGATGCTCGTATACCTTTGGTGAAACTAGTCACCTTGCCAACCTGCCAAAGTTCATAGCACCATCATTCTGCCAATTCCTTCTAAATGGTCATACTAGGATCGATAAATAAAAGGGACCCGATTTCAGTAATGCATTTGACAAGATGGGGATGCCATGTATTGTTGTTCATCAGAATTATAGTAGTCTTAGACAGTTCTTCTAAGAGGCATTAATTTTGTTAGATGCATTTATATGCATGACAGAAGATAGAACAATGCAACGGGTTAATGTGCTAAAATACAATTTGTTACAATGTAGCGCTATCACAATAGGGACTGAAACAATCAATTGGGAAATCAGAAAAGCTCAAACCTTTTTCCCGTCCACTGAGATGGTGCTGCCAGGTTCCACCGGTGATGGTACACGTATTCCCCACAGCCTCTGTTTGATGCCATCGTAAGTTACAAGCCTAGAAATGGTTTCTTGGCCCTTATAGCACCCTGAAATTAATTTCTCAACTTTGAGAAACCGTAACCAGAAGGAAGCATAAATATAGAAATAGGAGCTTATGAACCTTTATTAAGAGAAACAGCATTCCACAGATTAGCCTCCAGAACATTAAACTCATCAGTGAGCTCTTTCCCAGGAGCTGGTCTTCCTGCATGAATTAAGGACAAAGCTTTCTACATCAATATTGAGAATTACATCAGACAGGGTGTTGACTGCTCAAAACTTTAGGACATGAACCTAACGCAAACAGGAGTCAGAACATAATGGAATCATGACGTCAGCAAAAGATATTATCTGGAATATTAACAATAGAAAGATGGAATTAAATTGTCCTTAATTACCTTGAAGTATCCTTAAAATTTCCCATGCATTAGAACCCATTGGGATGGCCCCATGACCTAGAAGAGCTTTCCAGACCGACTCAGCAGCAGCTGGAGACATCAGTAGTGAGTAACCGTCTTCAGAGATGATATTTCCCACTCCCACAGTTATTGGCATTCCATTTACCTTCACATGATGAATTTCATAAGAAAAAGTAAAATGAACCTCTTATTCCTTGGAAAACTCAGGCATGACAATATGTTCAAGAAATTGCAATTAATCTACAACATATAGGACATGAGAACAACTAAGCTAAAGGGTAGAGAAGTTAACAAGCAAGTACTTCAGCAGTAAGGAAAGTAATAAATTGTGGATATTGCAGACAAATGGCAGAGAAACTGTAAAATATTCGATATTGAGAAGGTTGATTCTGACAATACAAGAACAGTCATGAATGCAGCACAAGGTTGACTTAAGAGGTTGCAAATGGAAATGACAAATAAATGGGTAGATACTCATGTTTCGTAGTCATGCAAGTGGGAATTTGGTGAATTGATGCATGAACAAAAAATGAGAGGGCTAATGAAGTCTGAACATGTCTTATTCAATGTGTTCAAAACCAATATCTCTCCTTTGAAAAAGAGAAAAGAATATTGGAAATCATGGTTCAAGTTTGGATTATTTGGCACAATCTAATCACTATTTTACATTGAATCTTTTTCTTATGAAACTACTTGTTTGGTTACCTAACAAGATAATCAATTGTCTGAGTTATTACCAATCATAAATAATTCTCTTAATTGAATACTCACTTTGATCCGACTTGTATTTTCATGGAATCTAAGAGTAAATGATGAGTACTTTGCATTTTGAGGAAAGAAGTAGTATCTTGCACAGACTAAGACAGTAAATAGATCAAACAATATGGATTGGAACTTAGAAGGAGTATCAAATAATCACACAGTTCAAATAATTTAAACCAAACAGATCTACGGTTCTTTTTTTTCTTCTTTTGACGTACATATACATAATATCCAGAAATGAATCAGAGAGGGAATTATCAGATTACACTGTAATGCTTATGTGAGCCATATGGTTGTCCAACTATGTCAGCAAGATTCAGAGCTTCCATTATCTGTTTGTAAACCATTACATGCAAAAGTTAGTTTTAGCTTTTAAGAGAAGAAAAAAAGACAACAAATATTATCAATTTGTTTGACGATTAATTAGACACAGTTCCTACTTGGTTACTTCTAGGCCCTATTAGTACGAACAAGGATGTTTGTCCTGTAATATCTTGAATTTCAACTTTGTCTGCAAAGAATATGTACCTATCAATAGAAGTATGGCATGTTGTTAAATCAGCAGTTAAATAATGTGAACATAACTGGTTAGGCTCCAAAAATCTATTCAAGCATAGATAAGCAAGAGTGAGAGCAATCCAGAGCAAACGCATGAACATACTTCTTAAGCATTCCAGTTATTCTTTCCTTGGTCACTGGAGAGACCACCAATGTGATCGCAGTTTTCTGTGAAATGTGAGATGGACTTCAATAATAGTCTAACATATAAAAGCCTAGGCACAAGGAACCAATTCTCTGCAAGGAATTATAAAAGATTACCATAATCCAGGCGTGGGCAATATCGATGGTTCTAGCAGTTGGTGTCACAAAAACAGTGTCACATCCCTACAATTCCCAGACATGAAATATAAAAGCAGGACACCAGTGGAGTTTGCTACTTTCATCGACCTAAAATTGCCTAAACCAAATAAATACCTGCCCTTCATGAAGAATTTCAAAGTTAGCAGTACTTTGGTTGTGAAGAAACTGAACCCTGTCTTCTCCACTAACTGTGTGAAATGAAAAGATAAACAGACATCTCTGAAACAACAACTATGAATGAGTAGACTCCAAACTATTTCCAACTAAGTAGAAAAACACTTTTCCAGTCCGTCCATAATACATAACTAGCATGGGAACAAGTGTTAATAAAATTTTCACATCCAATCTCCACATGATTTGTACGAAATAAGCATAAAACCACATTCCGCAGAATCACTGAACTCAAAGGTGGGAAGGACTAACCTTTTTTTATTAGAAGAGGAATGTGGATAATGGACTTTTTTTTTTGTTGGTAAAAATGGACTTTTTTAGATATATTAAATAACTCACCTAACTTCTATTCCTCCATGTCAATAGATTATTCACAGATTAAACTGAGGTTTGGTCAAGAAAACCAAATCTTTTTCAGTATGAAAATATGTGGATGGATTTACCTCTTATCCTGCCGTAGTGTGAAAGATCCACAACCTAGAACAAAATGAATGATACCAACAGGTCACATTTTGCAAGACTAACCTCAGGAGTGTACAAGTTCCTCTAAAAGCCAGGTTCAATTCCAGATATCGCAGTAAAATTTACAACATATGATGATTAAAATTGGACTATAACAATCTTTTAATCAACAGATGAAAATCATGACAAGAAAATTCTTAATTAGGAGAAAAATAACTAAAATTACCAAGAAAACCTGAATCAAACTAGATACACACCGCGACGGCATTCTCAACAGCATCTAGTGCCTCCTCGTCATTATCGAATGTTCCTATTGCTCCATCTTCTGATACCTTGGCCCCAGCAACCGTCATAGTATCCTGTAGGAAGCAAAAGAAGAAAAAGTTAGGCAAGTAAGCCAGTAAACAAAATGTATGAGCAAAAACCAAACTGTAAGGAGAGCAAGAATGAAAGCATATAGAAGCATCAGGTCAGTGACATCTCATCCTTTACTTATTAACCAGCAAACATTTAGCAGATGTAACGGCATTTCCTTCTTGTAACCCCATTGTTCAGGAGAAGTTCTCTAACGCCTAACTACCCACTGAAATGAGAATTCCAACTTCCAAGCAGGGTTGGACGGAGCATTGGCAAGAGAGGCATCCACTTACCACAACGCATGTTTCTCCCCCATCCCTCTTTATCACATGGAGTATTTGTTTTTTTTCTTTTCTATTTCTTTTTTATCTCCTTTGGTGAGGTTCCTCAGGTGTAAGTTTATACTCTTTTTTATTTTTTTAAATAAGAGTGGTGAATGAAGGTGGTAAGTGGGGAAGATCTAAAATCACTTGGAAGGACCTACAATTTCTTGGTATCCATGATGACTTAGTAAAAGATAGGGCACAATACCTATCAATCAATAAAATGTTTCAGTCGTGTTAGCAAGTTTACTTTACGTCCTATGATTTTCTAGCAGTTGTTTAGCCTTCAGAAATTTATAACTCTAGTACTTTATAAAGAACTTCTAGTACTTTTGTTTTGACTTTTATTTTGTATAATATTGGCTTGAAATGAGTTTAAACGGAGTAACATGGTCCAACTTGTTTGGGACTGAGGTTTAGTTGTTGTTGTTGTTGTTTGGTGTCCGCGTCAGCTTGTGCACCACAACCAATGCCCCATGTACCTGCTACCTCCAACCACCACAAGTATTTGTATAACTCTGTCCACCAAGATTTTGACAAATGGGAGAAGTCACCCAATTTTCCCTCGGCTGGAATTCAGGCCTCGGTTCCCATGGGTTGTTCGAATGCTAGGATTGTTTGACCCAAAAGATATTGAAACTTTTTTGATTAAATCAATTAAAGAAGATGATGAGGTAAATCTTAGTCAAACGTAATAAACTCCAGATCTATAGGCAAATTAGAAAATAATGCATAAGACGAAATAGGGGCTATCAATCTTATTGATGCTTTTCATTTTTCCTCTCATTAATCGGTGGGGGTAACCATTTTACATATTCCATGGGAGATTGCTTTGTCTTTCTATTTACTAAGAAGATTATAGAGGAGAGGAAAGAGATAGAGAAGAAGCCTCCATTCTAGGAAGGTTCCCTCTCTATATATATTTATGGAATCCTTATAGCGTTTTCGGGTCCACACACTTTCGTGCCACGTCCGCCTTCGTCGTTCCCTGAGTGTTGTTTTTCGACTTTGTCGGGTTTTGTGAGCACGGGATTTGGAGCAAACCATGCTGTCATCCACTGTCTCGCCGCTGGGACAGGATCTCGGATGGGCCGACCGTAGCAGTCAGATTTTGACCAATAGAGTTAGTCCCTCCGTCTGCCGGGGTCGTCCCTTGTCGGGCCTGGCAGACGGATTATGATTGCTACATATCTGAGAGAAATCTAACTACCTACCCTTTGGGTATGGTCCTTAGGTTTCAAGTGACGTAACAGCACCCTTTCGATATGCTTGGACCGTTGCGGCCGTTTCGGAACCGAAACATTGTTTAACTTGAAACGTTGTTCGTGGTTGCCGCCATTATGACACACGTTCCCAGGGGATTGAACCGTTTCATGCCCTATCAAATTCGATTGGCGACTCTTGGGTTTTAAGCTTGGGGGATTTACGTCTCTTATTCGAAAGAACTTTGCGAATCTTCTTTTCTCCTGATACTTCGAATTTTTAATTTTCTCCGGTTAGCCAAGAATTTTCATCTCTCCCTTTCTTTATCCCTTTGTTTTATCAAATTGATACAAATGGCTGGCGATTCTTCTCGTGTTGATCTCCCTGCCACAATTCCGGCGTCGGAAAGCGATGTTCTGGTCATTGGAGGAGCAAAAGTGGTGGAAGATGAGGAGGTCCTGTCGGTGGTTGAGATCTTGCCTCACCCTAGGAAAGCATGGAATGATTTCCACAGTCCCGCCGGGGAGGAGCCGGAACCTTCTCCCTCTGTTATAAATGAAGAGGGGATCGCAAAATTGAAGGCTAGGTGGGGAATCCCTCGCTATGTCGAAATACTGCCGGCGGTGGGGAACGATATAGTCCACTTCGACCGCCCAGGGTATTGCGCGTTCTACGCCTACCCGTTTATTGTGGGATACACGCTTCCTCTCCCTCTCTTGGTGGTAGATTTTTGCCGCTTTTACGAGGTATGCCCAGCTCAACTTTCGCCGTACCTGCACAAATTGTTCCTCATGCTGCTCAAGTTTGCGGGGCTTGCCGGTCGTGAGATCACTTTGGAGCACATGCTCAATATCTTCGCCCCTCAACTCATTCGTGGCACGATGATTCACATGCGTCACCGAGGGTCGAAGAGTGGTGGTGAGATTGGACGACATGGCCAACCGTCGCTTCTACGAGAATTACTTCTATGTGCGGACCGAGCACCTTGTGGCGGATCCTACTGGGTTCCCTGAGAAATGGAACTTCGCACGTAAGTCTCTATACTTTTTGTCGGAGTGATGTCCGACCACTTTCCAATGGGTAGTACTAAACTGTTTACGTTTTTACAGCCGCGAAACTACCCCCTGCACCTGTTGATGGTATCCGCGAGTGGGTGAGCGCCATCCTTCCTCATACGGCGGAGATGCGCACATGGTTGTCCTTCTATGAGAGATATGGACGCAAGCCCCTTACTGGTGAGTGAGACCATTTTTGTTAGCTATTCTTGCCCTCTTTCCTTTTTACTCGGTTTCTTACGTGATGTTCATCGATGCCAGGGAGAGTGCGGAGAGCGAGGGCCAGTACTCGACCTTCGTCGAGAGCCGCTTCAGATGATTCTACGGCTGTATACACATGGAGGCCGCCCCTCAAACTGAGATTCCGACCCATGTTGCCTATCCATCGGGTGAATCCTCTCGTGCCGAGGAAGGAGAGGGGTCATCCAAGAGGTGGAGAGTGGAGTCCGAATCGGCCCCTGCGGTCGTGATACATCTGGAGGAGGACTTTCCTTTGACAGTGTCTGAGGCGAGGATTGATACCATTCCGCCCGTAGAGGCAGAGCCAGCCATTGTATCTACCCCGTCGACGGAGATCCTTGCCGCTATGATCGATCAACAACCTGCCCCGATGGGGGGGTCATATTTCTGAGGCTGTTGTTATTGTTTTGGGCGGGCCTTCGTCCTCGGTGCCTGGTCGTGCTTCCTCCTCGGCCGCTGGAAGGGGAAAGGGTGTCGTGTTCGACGACTACGAATCTGAGTCTGATCTTGATCCTGATGATGTTAGGATGTTTGAAGAGGTCTTACCCGCTCGGTGGTTCATGCGGGAGGCTCGTCTCGTATTCTTGAGATCTCATCGGATATTAATCTCCTGGGGGACACGGAGGACCTGGTGCCGCAGTTCGACATTTTGTGTTATGCTGCCGAGAACGAGGCTCTTCGGAACGTTCCTGATATTTTCTTGATGCATGAAGTGGCCGCTATGGGCTTGAGGGTACGTTTCGCCTTTCTTTCATGTTCCTTTATTTTTCTGGACGATATGGTCTTAACCCACTTTTCGTTTTTCAGACGTACATGGTAGAAATTGAAAAGCGCTCGTAGGGCTGACATTCGGGCCAAGATTTTTCTGAAGATGTTGGAGAAATATCGGCGCTATCGCAATAAGTGCCGTGAGATGCATGAGCGGCTGAAGGAGAACCCCGGTGCTCGATCCCTTGGTGAGGAATTGGAGAAAAGGGACCAGCAATTGATGGAGGCCATTCCCAGAAGTAGCGAGCTCGAGGAGCAACTTCGTGTGAAGGACGAAGAGCTTGAGTTAGGCAAAGGGGTTGCTGCAAAGTGTGAATATCTTCAGGGGGAAACTGAGGTCAATGCAGTCTGAGATGGATCAGAATCTAATCCGGGTCGAGGCGATGAGCGCGGAGTGGATGGGAAAATTGGTCGAGTTGGAGAAAAAGGTTGTCGGGTTGGAGAACATCGAGAGTGCCTGGTCATCAGCTTCGGCAAGGGCGGCGGCCTGGAGAACACTATCCGCGTCCTCCAATCCGAGCAGGAATCGGAGAGGGCGACGACCACGCTAAGGGAGGCGAGGCTCGAGGAACGCATCAGAGAGATCGACCGGGAAGCATCGACCTTAGGGAACCAGGTCGCTGCCCTGGAGGCCGAAAAGGAGCAACTGTTGGCTCAAGTCAAATCTTCCTCCGCCGTTGTTCCCCGCCACTTGCACGAGCTTTGGGTTCATGCTGAAGCCCGGCAGGACATATATAAGAGTGTGTGGGAGGCAGGCAATGTTACCGAGGCCGCATATGAAGGAGCGCGGGCGAAGGCACGAGAGGCTCGTGTTAAACTGTGGATATGACTCTGCGACGCCGGAAACTGATGAGGGCGCGGACGATGAGGGAAGACTTCCTGGAGATGGTGCCGAGTGAAAGAATTGTTGTCTTTGTCTGTTTTTTTTTTTTTGTTGTTGTTTATTGTTTTTTCCTGGACTCCGTTGATTTTAGCCGTATGTAATATGCGGCTGTTTGCGTAGTAGCTTTGTGTAAAGAGGGATTTTCCATTGTCATATGCTTTCTGTATTTCTTTTCCCCTTTTGCTCTTCATAATTTTGGTGCAAAGAAGTAGATTTCTGTGTGATGAGTTCCCGACTCTTAGGGAATTTAATGTCACATGGGTTGAGTAGGGCCTTGATAACGGCTTTAACTGATGGGACGGTGCTTTTGGGCTTATGTCGAGGTACTATCCCATCATAATCCGAAAAATATCTAATTTTATTTCTAATAGCGACCTTAGCCGCGGGGACGTTACTTTCGAGTCTACACCGAAGTATTATCCCGTCGTGAGTCCCAGTTTTCTTCGGCGATGGCCTTTGACCTCAAAGGTATTATTTCGAACTCTAGTCGAAATATTAACCCATCGTTGTTCGATCGAAGTCGAACACTTCCTTTTGGTGAAGGCCCTTGGCCTTAAGGGTGTTATTTCGAACTCTCGTCGAAATATTAATCCATCGTTGTTCGATCGAGGTCGAACTTTTCTTTTTGGCGAAGGCCCTTGGCCTTTAAGGGTGTTATTCGAACTTTCGTCGAAATATTAACCCGTCGTTGTTCGATCGAGGTCGAACTCTTCTTTTTGGCGAAGGCCCTTGGCCTTTAAGGGTGTTATTCGAACTTTCGTCGAAATATTAACCCGTCGTTGTTCGATCGAGGTCGAACTCTTCTTTTTGGCGAAGGCCCTTGGCCTTTAAGGGTGTTATTTCGAACTTTCGTCGAAATATTAACCCGTCGTTGTTCGATCGAGGTCGACCTCTTCTTTTTGGCGAAGGCCCTTAGCCTTTGAGGGTGTTATTTCGAACTTTCGTCGAAATATTAACTCGTCGTTGTTCGATCGAGGTCGAGGTCTTCTTTTTGGCGAAGGCCCTTAGCCTTTGAGGGTATTATTTCGAACTTTCGTCGAAATATTAACTCGTCGTTGTTCGATCGAGGTCGAGGTCTTCTTTTTGGCGAAGGCCCTTAGCCTTTGAGGGTATTATTTCGAACTTTCGTCGAAATATTAACCCGTCGTTATTCGATCGAGGTTGAACTCTTCTTTTTGGAGAAGGTTCTTGGCCTTTAAAGGTGTTATTTCGAACTTTCGTCAATATATTAACCCGTCGTTGTTCGATCAAGGTCGAACTCTTCTTTTTGGCGAAGGCCCTTGGCCTCTAAGGGTGTTATTTTGAACTTTCGTTGAAATATTAACCCGTCGTTGTTCGATCGAGGTCGAACTCTTCTTTTTGGCGAAGGCCCTTGGCCTTAAGGGTGTTATTTCAAACTCTCGTCGAAATATTAACCCATCGTTGTTCGATCGAGGTCGAACTCTTCTTTTTGGCGAAAGTCCTTGGCTTTTAAGGGTGTTATTTCGAACTTTCGTCGAAATATTAACCCATTGTTAGTCCCTGTTTTCCGGAGAATCGGGTATCTTCTGGGGGAGTCCCAGTTCGCCTGATTTTATTTGTGTCGGGGAATGTGGTGTTGGAGAGCAGAAAATGTTGCTGCTTTGCTCACACTCGTTTCACGCACCTATTGGAGTTTCCCCTCGTCGGCCTGATCTTTATGTCCCCGGGAAGGCTCTCTCGGGACACCTTCTTGGTGAGGGAGAGGGGGTATCGCTCAGGGGGTATCATTTCCTAGGAGTTGGGTTTGTCTGACAGACGATATTTCAGTAGTTTTGTAGCAATTCCCCATTCTTCAGTTGGGATGTTTCCTTGCTCGCTTGCTCACGCGATGCTTACGCTCTTGTTTGAGCAAACAGCAGAAGGTGGATCTGTGGTGTTGCTCGCTTTGCTTGGAATTTCAATGGTTGACGGGGGTGATGTTTTCTAGACTCGGTGGGCGATCGTGTTCCCGATTTTTTATCTGGAGAAGACTAGGAAATTTTCACTAAAAAATCCCCACAGACGGCGCCAAATTATTTGACCCAAAAGATATTGAAACTTTTTTTATTAAATCAATTAAAGAAGATGAGGTAAATCTTAGTCAAACGTAATAAACTCCAGATCTATAAGCAAATCAGAAAATAATGCATAAGACAAAATAGGGGTGATCAATCTTATTGATGCTTTTCATTTTTCCTGTCATTAATCGGTAGGGGTAACCATTTTACATATTCCATGGGAGATTGCTTTGTCTTCTATTTGCTAAGAAGATTACAGAGGAGAGGAAAGAGAAAGAGAAGAAGCCCCCCATTCTAGGAAGGTTCCTCCCTATATATAGTTATGGAATCCTTATTGCGTTCTCTGGTCAACACACTTTCATGCCACGTCCGCCTTCGTCGTTCCTAAGTGTTGTTTTTCGACTTGTCGGGTTTTGTGAGCACAGGGTTTGGAGCAAACCATGTCGTCATCCACTGTCTCGCTGCTGGGACGGGATTTCGGATGGGCCGACTGTAGCGGTCAGATTTTGACCAATACAAGGACAACTTGTTGTTAGGTTCACTAATTTACTTAGTGTTTCAAGTTTTAGCATTAATATCCAAATATTTCAAGTAATTTTACCCAGCAAAATAGTCTATTAAACAAGCCAATTATATAAAACACACAAAAAGGAATTGAAAAAAATGAAATATGCTTCGATTAAAGCCCACAATCAACAAATAATTGACTTAAAAACATCAACAAATATTTTGGAATTCAACAATGTGTAAATTTTGGTATTATTATACTTACGAGGAGGTCGTGGTCAATGGGAGGCGGAGAAAGGTCGAAAGGCAGCGCAGCTGCAGGAGAAAAAGAAAACCGCCGCTTAATCTTCGCCGGCGGCGCATCGTAACTGAACGGCCGGTAAGCTAATGGAGTGGGAAAGAGATGAAGAATGAGTGAGGAAGAAAAGGAGTGACAAGGAAAGAGCACGTTGGCACCGTAGCAATACGCCATCGCTCGAATCATTCGGAATTTGATTACGGTCGGTATTTCTCTTATTTTTATACAGTCATACCATATCAGATTTTCAGTTTATTTATTAAGTATAGCTAAAATTATGTTTATAAAATTATTTCAAGATAGTAAATTCATCCGCGCGATTATAAAGAAAATGAAAATATGTCTAATATAATAATTTATTCAAAAAAAATCAATCTTTGCTGATTCATTAAGTGTACTTTTTATACAAGTGGAGAACAATTTCTTTACATAAACAATTAAAGAAAATACAATACTTTTATACGAAGTGGAGAACAATTTCTGCAAGATGCAATCTAAACTTGCTATGCAAACAACATTTCTCAAGACAAAGGATAGCATCGTACCATTAAAATCTACAAATAATAAAGTTGTTTTTCTTGCAAGGTCATTGAAGTTACATCTATTTGAANAATCTAAACTTGCTATACAAACAGCATTTCTCAAGACAAAGGATAGCTTTGTACCATTAAAATCTACAAATAATAAAGTTATTTTTCTTGTAAGTTCATTGAAGTTACATCTATATTTGAACCTCCACCTTTCCTAAAATAATAAAGCACATTACACAGCAGACACCATGTACTCCCCCTCTGCAATTGAAAATACAATGAATATACACAGAAGCTCAAGCCCTTACAATGCAAGAATAAACAATAAAATAGAAGCTATTTTAGATGCATTTTGCCTCACTCGAACTACAAAAAATATATAAGCTTTATCAAAAAATAAGAGGTGTAGATGTTTGTAGTTCACAAGAAATAGGGCAACTTTATGTTCGGGCACCTCAGACCCCATTCCCCTCTAAAAATGAAGCTTCAACAGAAATTTTGTTAAGGTAGTAATACTTGGTTCTTGGCTTGGTCTTCAACATCAAGCATAAATTGTAGCAAGTAACTGGAGTTGTTTTCACTATTTTGTCGACCTTGATCCTTAATCGGGTGATCATGCACTAGTATTAGTTAACTACCAAATTAATCTCCATTCTAAACACTTGCCTCCTTTCACATGCTCCTAAAGAGAAAATATATGTCAAGTCCTGTAAAACTTTTGCAGAAAAAAACAGGAAATCATTTTACTAGTATAGTGGAGGGTAATAATATACAATGACAATAGATCAATAAGATACACATTAGTAGGGCTTAGACTACATATTCATTTGGATATTAAAGGTCTAACAGCTACTGGTTTCTTATGCATCTCACAAGCAATTGAATATAAGGAAATGACATCAGCTAGTTTCTCATCAGAATTTCCTTCTTGAACACGTATTTAAACATAATTATTTAGCAAATAAAAAACCACCAGGATACGCAACAAAAATAAGACAGTTCTTGCGATTTGGCTACTTAAAAGAGCTTGTTGAATAATTCTTACTATCCATTGTGGCGGTAAACATCATTGTCTGAAACTTCTGTTGAACATATTCTAGATTTCAACATCCTCTGCAAAACCCACATAAATCATCTGAATAGCTTCACCCTGAATAATTAGAAGACCGCCTATTTAGCAGTTCAATGATGGGACCAAGCGTCCAACAACAATGTTTGCTTCCCTATCAAACGTTAACGCATTAAATATAGTTCTCTATCCACATGGCGATCAAGTTCGACATTGGGAGCCAAGATCAGTTTGAAAGATCTTCTTCTCTATCTATATAGTTTAAAATAACCAAAAAAATAAAAATAAATATTGTAACGAATTTCACATTCTCAACAAATAAAAGGATTAAAAAACAAACAATAATCAATAATTCTCCGACAAACTTAATACATGATAATATAATATATTTAGCTATTACTAAAATAAATCCAACAAAGAAAAATTAGAGTAAACAAACCCATTATTGTTGTTGATCAAGTGAACGATCTTATCCATAATTGAAATGCCAAAAGCTAGTCTTTGCAATTCCAAACTTACGTGAGAGGGGGAATGGAAGCAATAGATGTCTTTGAGAGTCAATCATATTCTTCTCAATGAAAAATTGCTAAGCTTTAATTTGTGAATCGGCAAGTAAAGGGGTTTAATGGGTTAAGATAGTTATACGTTACATTTTGAGGTAGTAACTGATAAAAGTTTAATGGAAAGTAAATGCTCGAAATTTATGGGCAATGAAATACACAAATAAAAGAAAAAAATACAATTTTACTTCTTTCAATATGGCCTCGGTGGAAAGAAAAAGAAAGGGAAAAATGTCAAAAAAAGGAGATAAAAGAAAAATAGATTTGCTGGCTTTGGAGGCATGCACATCATCTCTTATATTGCCTCCTTTATATTAATATATAGATGATTATAACGCATAGTGATGGAACATTGACCACTTCACATATACATAGACCATATTGTATATTAGCAATATTCATATTTTTGAAGAAATAATTACATTTAATATTATTTGTAGCAGTTACTTCTTTTATGGTTCCAATATTTCACTAATTTGCCTTTACTAAGTTTTGATGTATTGTATAACAAATTCGCATCCTAATATATATTTTTGGCTCTTATGAGTATTATTTTTCGTCATTTGGCTCTTATTCGCAACTTGATTCTTGTCTAGCAAAAGCTATATTCGCTTATTTCATTGGATCACAGATTTCTCCCTACCATGATGAACTACTTAAACTTTTCCCCAGTAAAAACAAAGACACAACAATGATAAGAACTACTACGCTAATCACTTAAAACGTGAAAAGCCAGTTTTGTTGATATTTCCTTCGAGCTTGATATTGTAAGAAATCGGGGTGGGTGAGGGGGGTGGGGTGGGGGATTTGGGTTAAGAGGAGAAATCATCTTAACTAAAAGATTTCGTGATTATTTACTATTTGCAACTTCAGACAAGAAGATAAAATAAGGAAAATTTAATCAGCCTAATAAGCTTAACTAGCAGATCCAGTCCTGAAATATCTTCAAATTTTACCTCTAATGGGAACACATTCACTATGACAAAATTTCATTCAAACAATAGAAGTCATAATTATACAGTAAACCCCACGTTCAAACAACAAAAGAATTGTGGATATACACACTGAACTTTTTTGAGGAAAATGAACAAAAAATACTATGTAATGAAAACCTCACACAACATAACTTCCAACACCTTTCTTTTCCTAATNCTCCTCCATGCCATCACCCCGAAAGTAGAAAGACAAAACACTCTTCAATAGAATATGTCAAAATGGAAGACGTTGCATCTCCATGGAAAATTTTGACACCGGACCACAAATAAGCACAAACCTGCAAAAAACACAATTATGAAAATTCTGAGCAAAATACTTTTGACAGACAAAGAAAATAGAAGTAATTGTCCATTTATGACTTGTTCGGAGTATGGAACACTACACTTAAATGCCTACTAAAGTTCAGTGTAAGGAATTATGAGGTTAAGGATGCATAATCAAGGTTGTTTAAATTGCTATTACCTCTCAACTTGGCTATCAAGAGCCAACTTCGATTGGGTATTCAGAGGCGGAGACTAAATTAAGTGTGGAATTGTTTTGGGTGAAGTTTTAGGTTAAAAGAGACAAATGTGAGTAAGCATTGTTTATACACGCATACAAAAAATGAAGCATTTTTCTTTATTGAAGTGAAGAAATCACACAAAAATAAAGCATAAACATTATTTCTAAAAATGAAACAAATCACCAGTAAGGTAGATGATAAAGGTAAAGATGAACAAGGAACTACGAGAATATCAGGTTTCTTAAAGCATAAAGATAATTGAATTGCCCGTTGAGATGGCATTGCTTGACATGTAATGTAGCATCTTTAGTTGCAAGGAAGAATGATAGCAATGGTCTGGATAAGACTATATAGTATATACCTGGAAGTGATCAGCCTAATTAGCTGCTCTTCCACCATGGATGAGTATCCAAAGAATAAGCTGATAAAGAAAACTGCTTTCCCGTAAGGCTCTTTACATGTCAGCTCTGAGGTGCAATAGTTGCAAGGGCACTAGCATGTGCAGGTGAAAGATTACTCAAAAGAGGCTGCATTTGTTGACCATAAACTGAAATTAGGTGAGAAAATGCTCTTCCAACATTAGCCTTGACTTCAGGGGTTTCCACAGGTGACATGGCAACCTGGGCAAAAACATTTACCAACTCTGGAACCAAAGATAGGATCTGCATATTCACAAGAGAACAAAACAGAAGGAAAGAAGTGTCAAAAATTAAATTCCAGAGGATGGAGACATAAGAAAACAAGAATGATAATTTATGTGAAAGATAAGATGACACACAAAATACCTGAGAGTTAGATGACAAAACAAGATGGCATATGCAACTGTAGACTGCCATGGATTCCTCGTGATCTTCTTTTAGAGGAAGAACTTTCAAGAAAACAGGTAGCACCTAAAGAAAGTACAACATCAACACACGCACATACAAATAGAGGGAAACTTTCAAAACCAAAAACAATAAAGGTCAAACTGCATACCTGATTCAGTGGGATTGTCTCTGGATGGACCATTATCATCCTTGCCACCGCACCAGCAGCATTGTCTCTCACCGCATTATCTGGCTCAGATTCGCCAAATAATGGGTAAAGGCCCCGTAAGGCATCCCCATAATATCTAGAATAAAGTGAATAAATCAGATATATAATGTACCAACGAAGAAGGCAGATGGTAAATAAATCAGTGGATACAACCCCACAAACTCAGAACACTTCTTAGGAACAAAAGGAGATAGATAAACAAAGTGTGCATATGAAAGCATACTTCAAAGCAGCATCACCACCATTTTTGCACAACTCGCCAACACAAAATGCTGCATTCCTTCGGTTTGTAGCATCTGCTGATGCTAATTCTTTAAGAACCAGGGACATCACAGCCTGAAACATGATTAGTATTCTCCAATTCAGTTGCAGAACTATTGAAAGTGTGTGCATGTCTGTATTGGAGAGTTAGAACAAAAGAACCAATTAACTAGTTTTTGCAAAATTTTACATCAATATAGCCACCAATTGGAGCACCCATGTGTTGAGCAACTTCTGCAAGGGTTGCAACGACCATGGTCCGATCT